CTTTGAATCACATCATTTAAGCCCACACATGTCATAGATATCATCAGATAATCTCTGGCCAGAATCAAAGAAGAGACAGAACATAAAAAGCTCTCAGAGGCAGCCTGTTAGGCTATTCTTAAGGGTTTGCTTAGAAACTATATCAGGAAAAGGTTTCGCTGGTCGAGTGGCACAAAATACAGGCTGATTTTGCTTTCTTCAGTTAATCCAGACTAAATTAATGGCAGCTGAGTATTATGTGCCAAGTATAAAGATAAAATGTGGGGCTGGGGAAACAGCTTGACAGTCTAAGCGCCTGCCTGGCAAGCACAAGGACCTCGGTTCATTCTTGGGTACCACATGCCATTCTGGCCTCAGAAACCCCGGTGTGCTGTGTCAGCCCTGGAAAACTGAATGTGGTGGTGCATGCCTGTAATCCCAGTGCTGGGGAGGTTGACATAGGAGGATCACTACAAGTCTGAACTATGTGCTGAGACCCTTTATCAAAAAACAAAGGTAAAATGTGATGATAAGGATAACATATCCTCAAGAGATGCCACATACTCCATCATTAGTTTCTTATTCCCAGAATAATGGCATAGTAAGACTAATATCAAGCAAATGCAAAAGGCATTGGTCTCAGAACCTGGAGTGAGGCCAAAGTTATAACAGTCAAGTGGCTCCAGCTGTGGGGACAGAAAAAAAGACAGAGAATAAGGTGAACCACTGAACAACTATAGGAGCTTGCAACTTGACAGACAAAGCATGGAGCAAACTTTTATATCCTTCTCAATGCATGGTGTAGAGATGGTTATGGTTCCTTAAGAGATTTCCAAGGTTGAGCATGAGGCTTCTTTCCTCTCTATTACATCTTCCCTTCCTTATAGGCAGGCATCACTTTAGTTTAAAGATCATAAGTTTCTTAATGACAAAATTCATATTACAATATCACTAACTCTTAGCCACACGATTCATTATTCCTTCCACGGATGGGTTTGGAAATGTAGTGCCTTAAAGCAAAAGAGTGCTCTCCAGTAGTGCAATCTTAGGCAAACCTCTGAAGATAATATTTTTACAGAGGAATTATATGATGCTTTTCATAACACAGCCCACTGGAAATGAAATAGCCTATATTAATCCAAACGAGAGAGATGAAAACTGAAAACTAGATTTGAGTAAACCATACATTGTCTAGTTCAATTCTCAAATTATCAAGATTTTGCTATCATTTCTGTCTAATACTTTAAGCCATGCATCTGAAACACTTAGAATTCAATGAATGCTACTGCTTGTTGTATTCATTATTATTATTGTTGTATTCATCACTATTACTGTTAAAGACAGTAGTAGCAACCGTGCTGTCTCAGCACCTGGAACAGGGCCTAGGACATAGTAACTATTCAAAACTATAACAATTATTTTTATGTCTTTATTGCCTCCACTCCTGGCCCAATGCCTGGCATAAAATATATCACTGATAGAGCTGGTTCTTTTCAGCCTCACCTTTTTCTGGGACTATTTTTATCTTCTGATTTCTCCCTAGTTACACTTTACTAGAATTGTCATAGACTTTCCCAGCACTATTAGTGACAACATTAGGAAAAACATCCAGCCTCTTCTATAATAGCTTGTAAGTGGTAAATAAGAGGAAGCAAGCATTTAAAATCATTTTTCAGTTGAGAAAATTAAAATTATATGCTATTACATGAAAATTTAACTCACTTCTAATCCCTATTAGTACTATCCTATTCTTTATGGCCTGAAAAATACTCCCTTCCTTTCCCTGCATCATAGTATCTCCTAACCAGGACTTGATAAATTTCATATCTTTGTTCTTACTACCCTTACATTTTCATATTAAACTCATCTTCCTAGGGTTAGTGTAAGAGCTATGACCTGCATGAAACATGCTTTGAAGCCTCCAATCCTCACAGAGCCCTTTCTGACACCTTGAAGCATCAAATCAGTTCCAGCTAATGTAGCACTTGACCGTTCCAATTTTTCTCAGCTAGACTGTTTTTTTTCTCATTCAACATCTGTTAATTGAGTCCTTGTCATGTTCCTGACCCTGTGTGTGTGCTGTCCTGCACAAATCAAAGTACTTCCAACCTAGCAGCAGGACAAGTGTTTAGTGAGATGCTATTGAAGAAACATGATCAAAGGTATGAATAGAGAACAGATATTGGCTAACTTTCAGAAAACAGTGGGCAAAGGCTTCACATAGAAAGAGGCCTCAGACTAAGATGCTGAAATGTGAGAAGACAAGTGGAAAGAAATGGATACATCCAGTAGCAAAGGCATAGCCACAAAAGGACAACTTAGAGAACATGGGTCAATATTGCTATAAATTAACTTGTAATGGAAAGAGGTATAACAAATCATATCAGCTTGGCTCATTCTTTCATCAAATGTATTTCAAGTGTCCAGGAGTGACAAGCACTGGACTAGATACACATGCTTTAAAAATAGTACAGATCCAATCCCCACCCTGAAGCTTTAAGGCTAACTGGACCAGACAGATAATTACCTAGTAAAATAAAGACACAGATGACTACAAATTTGGCTTACCATTAAGAAGGTAGAACACCTGGTACAATGAAGAGAATACAAAAACACTATTTTAGAGAGGGTGACAGTAGGACAGCTCTGAGCAGAGTCCCTGTAATATTTTGGTGATATTTTGGTGAGTGCCTGTAAATGATATTTTGGTGAGTACCTGTAAATGAAAGGAGCCAGAGAACAGAATTCTAGTCAAAGATCAAAGATTTTCAGGCATAAAAACAAGAATAGCAGAAAACTAACCAAAGGGCAGTAAAGAAAAATCGAGTTTGTGCTTCCTAGGCTGACTTGGGGGTAGTGTGGAAGGTGGTCTGGAACAAGAGAGAGCAGAATCAGTATGTTCAGTTCATCCCAAGGTTGTGGTACTTATACATTTGACATTTGGTCAAGGTAAGAACCTGCCCATTCATGGATCCTTGCACAGTCATTAGCAAGCAAAGCATTACACACATCAGAACCTGTCTGTGGGGTCCGGGGAGATGGCTCAGTGGAATAAGTGCTTCCCTGGCAAGCGCAAGGGCCTGAGTACAATCCCATGTTCCACCAAAAAGAAAAAAAAAAAGAACCTATCTGTGTTTTTCTAATGATTAAGTAAAAAGTGGAAGCTGAACTGAATTGTTGAGTGTCTTTTCAAGAAGTCACATGATATCTACCCCCCTCTCCTTTTTGTTTACAAAGAGAGGGAGGAGGGTGTTGTATAACCAGTACTAGTATTAAACTCACCTGTTATTAAGTGAGAGATGTTTGAGTATTGCTTTCCTTTACCTGCTGCTGAGTTACTTGAAAGTGGTAAAAGAAAATACCATGGCTTCTTGAAAGCCACAGCCCCCTGCTTTCCTGCAGTCTGGATCCAGAGTGAAATTTGTCATTTGTGCCTGTTCAGAGCAAGGCACTACTCGTTCTCAAACACTAACTTCTCAGAAGATCACAAGGTTATGAATTACAAATGTCACTTGATCTAATACATGCTTCTCCCTCTTCCAAGCAGGGATATAATTACCTAAAAGAGTGAGGTAAATGTTTGTAGAGGGTCCATGTCTTCATTTTCTTTTATATCCAGGAGATGACACAAGGGACTCTTTATCACATTTCCATTTCCTTTTGCTAGCAAGGCAGTTCTGAAAAGGGCCTGTCCTAACTTAGCCTTCTAGGGGCCAGAGGCCTCAGGATGAGAGGGACAGGAGAAGCTATCACCTCAGGGATCTGAGCTTCATTTTCTCCCCTAGGTAGGATCATCACTGCCATCTCACACAACAAGTACCAGGAATCAGTGAGGAATATGAGTGAATTTTATCTGGAAATTACAAAGCAAGAGCTCTAGTCTGTGATTCATTATATGTGAATGAAGGCAAAAACTGTCTTTTCTCCCATATGGCCCAGAGAAAATTTAAACACATTGGAGGATCTCAGTAAAAAGGAATAAGGATTTTTTTTTTTTTTGCTCCGAATGCCCTCAGGGGTGGTTTGGCTGGCCGGAGTGTTGTGGGGATCGAACTACAGCAACCTGAGGCTGAAAGTTTTGCCGAAGCAGCCACTTAAAGAACTGAGCTAGGGCTAGGCCCCCTAGTAAAAAGGTTTTATACTTTAAATCAATTTTATTAAGTGCAATCTGGCTTCAGATCTGGTACAAATAAAACAGACCACTCACATCACAGAATTAAGTGAAACAGACTGTCAGATCTATTAACTTCTTGGTTTGGAATGGTGAGAGAAAAGATACAGAAGTAGAAAGAGCAAGTACATGCTTATCTTTGGTAGATAGTTTTGGCCTACTAGAATCAACATTTCTTCCCAAGTGAATAACAGCAAGAACCAAGCTTGCAGTTAGCATTGAAACAGTATTACAATCTAGGATGTGCATTTGAGAAAATTGCAAATGCAAGCTTGAAAATTAGCACAAATCTATAGACAAGGATCTCAAAAGAAACTGGGCAAAGATGAGTGGCAACTTTTCATCACCAATCAGAAGTACTACAAGGAGTTTTCAAGCAGCAGAGGAAAGGAAAGAAGGAATTCATTTATGTTCCTCCATATCTTAGGTGGATTAGCCTGTGCCAGTTGCTTTGAGAACGTACATCTTATTGAACTCTCACAGTAGCTTCACAAAGTAAGAAATATTCTATGGCATAGGACCTGGTACACAATAATCAGATGCTAACTGATAACTGCTAGTAGTATTACTAATATTCATATCCTTAGAAATAAGAAAAGAACCACAGAGGGCTGGAGTATCCTATCCGAGTTCTCAGAGTTGGAATGTAATGTAACCAGTGTTTGATCGCAGATCTTTCTTACCTAAAAGCCTGGACATTTTCTGCTCTACCTCTTTGCAAGAGGAAAGGAGCAGTATTATTAAAACATTGCAACTTTCCAATCCCTTAGCAAGGCTGCCCTCTATAACTGAGCAATGGAAACCTTCAGGTAACTAATATCTTCGGTCTTCCTCTTTCTCCTTACTCAGCTCTCTAAATTGCTGTGAACCATGGCTCAGCTGTACTACAAGAAGGTTAATTACTCACCATACAGAGATCGCATTCCTCTGCAAATCGTGAGGGCTGAGACAGAACTCTCTGCAGAGGAGAAGGCCTTCCTCAATGCAGTGGAGAAGGGGGATTATGCCACTGTGAAGCAGGCCCTGCAGGAGGCTGAGATCTACTACAATGTGAACATCAACTGCATGGATCCTTTGGGCCGGAGTGCCCTGCTTATTGCCATTGAGAATGAGAACTTGGAAATCATGGAGCTACTGCTGAACCACAGCGTGTATGTAGGTGATGCATTACTCTATGCCATCCGCAAGGAGGTGGTGGGTGCTGTGGAGCTTCTGCTCAGCTACAGGAAGCCCAGTGGAGAGAAGCAGGTAAGATAAATACCCTACAGGCTGATAAATCACCAGGAGCAACATAGCACTAAAGCCCAGAGACTTGAATCTAGAAACATCGGGTTGCCTGGAGTTGTAGAGTCCTATCTCAGAAGTTACTTCAGTGACCTCAAGTGGTACCCTAAAGCTACCCTGTATGACCAATGCTGAGTTTCACTCATTTTTCCTTTTTAATATTTGCACATAAACGTTCATTAATTAACAACTCAGAGCTGTGCTCATTTCCAGATTGTGCAAGCTCTTTCCACTTTCCCTGCCCACTGTTTCTTCATTTTCCCCCTCTAATTAAAGGTCACTGGAGAAGAGACCAAACACAGGCCTGGGCTTTCTCCTTCCTATCAACCTGTCTTCTACAGACACAAGAAACCTTTAAATTTGAGTGCAGGCACAAATGGGTAAAAGGCCTCAGGTACTTTCTGGTATCTGTTAAGACACTGTATCCATTCCTATTTGTTTAGATTTTTGCTTGTGTGATCCTTTTGTTCTCTAAGTAATCCAGATTTGATACACTGTAGTCATCTTTGTCTATCTTGCCTATACACTGTAGTCATCTTTCTCTGCCTATCTTGCCTCCCTGTGTAATCCCCAAATTCTCTGTTGTCTTTTGTTCCAATAGCTTCTACATATTTTCTTTTCTCTCTAGCCCAGCTCATACCACTATGGACCTGTTCTTACTGTCTTTCTCTGAGATGAGTGAACCTCAAAGTATTGTCCCTAATGCAGCATCAACATGACCTGGGAACTTATTAAAATATAAATCTTGAAGCTCAACACAGTCCTACTAAATCATCAGCTCTGAGATAGGGCCAGAGCAAGCTGCACCTTAAGTCCTCAAGGATTTTGAAATATGCTTAGGCTTGAGATCTGCTATCCTAGACTAACATAAAAATCTAGTAACTCATCTTCTATCTACCCTTTTCCCTCCCTTAAACTATGCTGAACATAAGGCCAATTTATTTATACTAAAATGGCATAATGATGCTGTCATTTCTGCCCATCCATGTGATAACAATATGTCAAAATATCTGAGACAAGGGGCCAGCCAGATAGCTCAGCAGACTAAAGCGCCTGCTTAGGCAGAGCGCAGAGGCCAGAGTTCAATCCCCAGTGTGACATGCCAGCCCCACCCCCAGGTCCCACTGAGAAAAAGATTGAGCTGGGCATGTTGGAGCCCACCTATAATTTCAGCACTTGGGAGGCTGAAAAACAAGAGAATCACTATGAGTCTTATCTATGTAGTGAGACCCTGTAGACACTGTACTAAATACATTTTAAAAACTCTAACACTATGTACTTTATAGAGAAAAAAAGTTTATTTAGATCACAGGGAGGTTGAAAATACAAGATCAGCAGGACCCATCTGTTCAGTCTCTGATAAGGAGTCCTCTGACTACATCATAACATGAAAAAAATGGAAAGGGAAATGGCCACATGCATAAGGGAAGAAGCAAGTACGTGAAGTGACCTCATTTTATTCCAACATACTTGTAACAACCAACTCACCCTGTAGCACCAGCATTAATCTCCTTCAAGAGAAGTGTCTCCAATAACCTAATTACTTCACACTAGGATCCTCCTCTTAAATGGTCCCCCACCTCAGCACAACCTCAATGAAGACAGAGCTTCCAACACAGAGACCTTTGTGGAGCAAACCACATCCAAAATCATCATTAGCAGAGACAATAACTCACAAAGCTTAGCAGTGAACCCACTCAATAATGATGGGCCTTCCAGTTCTGTCTGTCCCTTACCCCTTCCAAACACCTCTCTGGTCAAATAGGTCTCTTCAGTTTGTCTCTTTATAGCATTGGGAACATATAAGAGACAAAATAAATACTAAATCATCCAAATGGAATACCTGGATGTATTCAGAGCTTTGATATTTGCCTAACTAAATAAAAGTAATGAAAATAAATTGATAACTTGAAGACTAAGAATTGAAGTTGACAGAATAGAAAACAAAGAACTAGATTAAAAGCCTTTTGAGCAAAGGGGCTAAATGCCCCTCTTCTCCATTAGCATTTAACACAGTCCCAAGAAAGTAGGGACTCTGTCTTGTTAACTGCTGAATCAGATCACTAAAACAGTACCTGGAACACCACAGACACACACCAAACTTTTGTTTAATGAATGAATAATATGCATCCAGCACTATGGTAAGTATCTTACATGACTCACCTCATTTCTTCCTCCAAGCAACTCTGTTAGGTCGACACTCTTATTATGATCCCCATTTTAGCAGTGAGAAAAACTAAGTAGCAAGATAGTTAAGTCAACTTTCCAAAGTCACAGTACCATCCAGCAGAAAAGTATAAAAATGAAGTATAAGAAGTAAAGCCATGCTGTTATGTTGAGCTGTAGGGGACTCAGGTCAACAGTTTCTGACATTGCCAGCGAAGTGGAAGACCCAATACTATAATGGGCTACTGGACTCTTTTAGAATATTTTGCTGAGTTAACACACCTATAATATTCAAATAACGGAACTTAACAAAAAAGGAGATAGCGATGAATGTCTGTTTTGTATCTGTGTATTCAAAATGGTTAGGATAGATATATAGTTACATTCTCTTAATGAATAGAGGGATTTGTTCTAATGGTGTTTGTAAATAGGATATCATGTCCGCATCTTGTACAGCAATTAACCACTAAGAAGAGAGTATGCAATGTGTTAATTATTGACTGTGCTACCAATTTGGTTTGATACTGTCTCATTGCTATTTGTTTCTCAATAAAATTATGGGGAAAAAGAAAAGAAAAGAAAAGTCACAGTAAATTCCAGATCCAGGATTCAAACCCACGCAACTCCTAAACAACCCCTTTAACGACTAGGCAAAACTACTTCCCTGGTAAATCTCAGGATTCCCAGTACAGGAATTTTGACACAGGGCAGATAAATGCAAGATGGATTAGCTCTCTGGAAATAATAAGCATGAAGAATTTAGATAAATAGCAAAGCAGAGAGGTATGAGTGCGGTTCCTGTGTAATCCACCCAACTACCTCCATCAACACTAATTGGTTCTGTGCACCATGTCCTCAGAGCTATGCTAAGTCTCTGGGTGATTTAAAGTGTTAATCTGCACTTTAGGCCTTTTCAGCTACTGTGCTCCATGATGCACTTAATGCCCTTCAAAATCTTACAGCCCCCTGGCTTTTTGCTTCAGTTGATACCAATCACATGTCACTTTGTTCTGTTAGTTAGCATTACTTGTAGAAATTCCTAATCTCTGTAACTAGACTGTTTCTTGAATATGAGGTAAAAATCTAATATCCAACTGTTTCCATACCTATTCCTTTTATACCTCATCAAATATTTAATACATAATGGATGACATATAAGTAGTTGCTGCAGGACATGAAAGAGTTCAGAGTGGTGTACACCTGTAAAACCAGAATTTATGGAGGTTCAGGCAGGGAGACTGCAAGTTCAAGCCTAATCTGGGTCTCTTGATTTAGTAAGATCCTATCTTAAAAACACAAAAGAAGAAAGGATGCAGCTCAGTATCAAGTGCCTGATTCTCATAGATAGATAGATAGATAGATAGATAGATAGATAGATAGATACCCATGGCTTCTTTTTATACATGATCTTTCATAGTCAATTTCATTTAACTTATAACTCTTTTGAGGAAGAAGAAAACACAGGACCAGTTTCTCAAAAAGGGGGATAGCAATACTGGCCCCAGCAGAGTTTTGAAAGGAAGTCAATTCCTTGTTTGATGGGCCCCATTTCCCCATCTTTCTCCAGTGCTCTTATAAATGCTGAGGCTCTATCAGGATGAAAAACACCAATTAAGCTTATAATAAAGTGCAATCTAAGGCATAACCTTACCTGGGAAAAGGCAAGGCTTAACTTATATGTAGCTCATTTGATACTGAGATACATCCTTTCCTCTTTTGTGGAAATTTAGATATATTGCACTTGTACTTTTTTTTTTTTTTTTGGTGCAACTGGCGATTGAACTTGGGCCCTTGTGCTTACCAGGGAAGTGCTTATTGCATTGAGCCATCTCCCTGGCCCCACATTTGCACTTCTATTTGGGACGAGTTGTCTTTTGCCAGGACCCTTCCAGACACACCAGTGTATGTCCTCCTTTGTCATGCTTGGATATCATACCATATGCTCACGAACACATCAGCTCCATTCCCAGGTCCCTTCAGCAACTTTCATTCTTTCTCCTCATTTCCCCAGCCCTCTGTCACCAGTCAGCACTAAATTTTATTTTCCCCCATTGCTCTGACAGTCGTTGTGATAAATTGTATGTCAGTAACTATAACAACGGCTGCCACATTGCTAACGCACTATCTGCCTTTTTGGGAGACAGAAACAAGGTTTGTTGCCTGGGAGCGATCAAGGATGTGAGCAAACACAGACCTCCTGGAGGACCTTGGATTTAGCTGAGCAGGCCACTCACTGGAAGGGCCTCTTTCCACACACGGAATCCAAACAAATGGCTTTTTTAATGAAGAGTATCCCCCATGTGGCTAACTGATTGGACACAGATAACTTCTATCACTCTTGGGAAAATAAACCAGCAAGCTTTTTAGCATTATGGGGCAAAGCCTTTAGCTCCAGGCTGGAAGAAAGACTTCTGTGCTTTTCTTCTTCTAGTCTCCTTATGCTCTTCCCCCTCCTGTAGCCTATCAATACTACTCTCAGATGAAGACCACAGGCATAGTATAAATGGATAGCACAGGTTTCAAGTATCAACACTGATACAGACACTTGCACTTTTGTTTATTTTTTAATTTTTATTTTGCAGAGAAAGAAAAATATTAGAAAACATCAGAAACAATATAGAATTTCAAACAACATAGGAAACAAACCTTAAAGCAAAAATAGTGATACTGTATTAGGAAAACTCTTCTATACCACGCTTGCATGTTTGTGTGTATATGTGTGTGCATGTGTGTGCTTGTGTGTGTGTCATCTTGGCATACTCCCTACCATCAGGGCCTATTTTCTTGGGGGATAGATT